AGGAGTGTCTGTAGATGTCGATCTGTACCTGTTGGTCTCTGAAGGCAACATAGTGCAGTAATGCTTGCATCGATTTGTCCTCTGCCTCTACAGCCGCATCTAACCTCATCCTCAAATGTTTCAGTGACCCTTTTCCAGATCAGTGCTCAGTCCTGAGAAATTTCAATTTTCAACCAGGAGAGGGGGCTGTGGGTTTACTTTAGTCTTTCCCCCTACATCAAATAAAGGCATTCATTTTTTTAAAATGGTTTTTAAAGCTCATATCAAATTGAAAGTATGCACATTGCTGTTAATAAAAGAATAAGCAACCGCTGTATGTGTCTTTTTTTACATGTACATGTGAATCTCTGTTCATTAGAATATCCACTTGATGTGAAATACATTAAGCAAAGGCTTTTTGCAGGTGAATAAAGTTCCTCTATACGTAAAGATTTTAGAGCAGCTCATTGTTTTTGTGCCACTTGCAAGAGAATAAGAGCTTTTCTGGTCTCTAGACCCTCTTAGTTTTAACTTGTAAACATCACCTGTGATTCTAAATCTGTCTGGTCTAACTCTATACCAAAGATGCTAATCAGAAGATTTTACAAACTAATGGTAAAAATGTGACTACCTCAGTTTTGGTAAAAAGCTGATGAATCAGGAGCATTTAGTAAACAGAATTTACACAGCCTTTTAACTCCAACGTTCACTTGTTACATCTGTTAACTCTAAGCAGTTACATGCTATGCTCGGTTTTACATGCTTATGCAAAATTACCATTATATCATTAGGTAGTATTTAGATTTAAATTTTTACAAATGTGTTTGTAGCTGTCCAGGATTGTTGGACAATGGATCCTATCAGCTCATATGCTGGATCAGATTTAAAAGATTTTAAAAAGATTTTAAAATCTTATTTTCTCTGAAAATGCATTTTCTTTAGAAACAAGTGCAGCGTTCTACCAGGAGATTTTATGGATCTTGATCCTTTCCTCCACTGACCAGCTTTGTGTACTGACTTCCTGTTTTCAGATCTGCCAAAAGTAGTAAAGAAGCTTGGGCAAAAATTCAGACGTATCAGCTTCATCTGAACCACCTGCAATGTTTCTCATCCATCTTCAGCCAATCATCTTGGGGCCACAACTCCTTCAAAGCAATCATCTTTCCATTCATTTAGCTTCTTGTCCCACGCAAAAGCAAACTTTCACCCATCTCCTCCTTCACTGTCAGGGTCGATCCCAAACCGCTCCTAAAGCACTAACCCTTAACTATCAAGTGTCACTCCCAGTGAAGTCACACTCGCAGCTGTTGAAGGCGCCTTGAATGGGATGGCTTCTTCCCTCCAATGGAAAAGGAAAGTTACTATGGCAACACAGTGATGCTCCTTGTGCGTAGCTGTAGCTCTGTGATGCAGGTTAACATAACATTAAACATTTGCCCCTTTCTTATCAAAAATGTATACAGTTAAAACTATTTCAAAGAGGATCTTCCATTGTGGAATTAATTACGATTTTTCATATACTAACTTGTGATTTTCTGTCAGCGTGATGAAGATCCAGCAACTCAGCGAAACTTAACTTTGGCAGAATGCGTTTCCTCTGCTAACAGGCCGCTTTAAGGTCTACTCGCCCTACCCTCTGTGGGGTTTGGGATGGCACTTAACTTGGAAGACCCTCCGCGGGATCACGCAAACAGAGGATTAGTACTCAGGGTTGGTGTTTAGGGGCTAGTTTTTTCGATTGGACCTCAAAATATTCTTAGTCCCTCTGGCTTATTTCACAACCAGTGTCCGGGCCCGGATAAGGCTGCTATAATTCTTTAGATTACTCATCCAAGCAAATATCAATTCACAGCATCAAAGTCTTCTGTCAGGGCCTGAGCGCCAAATAACATCTTTCATGTCGATTTCTGTTTCTTGAACCTGTCAGCCTCGGCAGATGGCCGCTCACACTGAGCCCGGTTCTGCTGGAGGTTTCTTCCTGTTAAAAGGGAGTATTTCCTCTCCACTGTCGCTACAAGCATGCTTAGTGTGAGGGGTTCAAGGAAACAGAAGCAGAGATCCAAAAAGCAGCTGTAAAGGGCGGCCCGGTCTGCCTGCTTTGATGACTAAGTGATCACTGCGGTTTATTTTCTAGCTAACTGACCTCACTTAATTGAGAACAGGACTGTGACGAAGAGGAAGGGTGACACCGGAAGCAAATGTGCAAACTAGCTGGAGGCCAAAGCAAACATTGCTTCTCTAACACCTCTTGACTGTGGTAGACCGCTTTCTTGCTAAACCAGTTGATGTATAAAATTCACAAAAGATAAGCCCAGGACTATAACAGACATATTCAGCAAGACGTCATTTATTTGTATTTTAGATATTTCCTTATTTAACTCCAAATTGTATGGATGCTATTATATTTTAGAAAAAAAACATTTGAAAAGGTTTAATATATATTTAACCATAAACAGACCAATCATGATGAAGAACTTGTTCTTTTTCCTGATCTGAAACTGAGAAGATTACGGACAGCTATGATATTCTGTTAAAACCATAGAAATCCTGTAAAAGGATTTTAGGATAAACTGCAGACAAAACGTATGGTTTGAGAGCTACTTTTGTTTCATATTCGCCATTTAATGTTTAAGCTTCACAATTTATAATGCATTTAGTTACTGCATTAGAAACCAAAATGTGATTTGATCTCTGGCCTGAGTGGATCAAATGACCATCTTCTAGAACTTGTGCGCTGAAAGAGGTGCTGCTAAGAAGGAGATGTTCATATTTATACCAGCCAGATTGATGCAGAAGCTTTTGTTTATTGTCATAATGGTTATATATTTCCAGATCTAAAGTTTCCATCAATTAAATGCTATATCATTACTTAATCAAATATTCATATCTCTTTACAAGAAAGAGTTTCCTTAACTCTTATGTTTTCGCCTTTACTAATTTTTGTCTCCTCAGCTAACGCCATTTTTGTTATTCCACTCAGAACAAGGATTACTTCAGTTTAATTCTGACTTGACATTTTTGTTTATTTTCCCCAGTGGGGAAATTAGTCTGTCAGCAGCAAAGGAGAAAGACGAATTGAGTGTAATACACTGCTAAAGAAATATATATATATATATATATATATATATATATATATATATATATATATATATATATATATATATATATATTTTTTTTTTTTTTTTTTTTTTTTAAGTAATTACTAACCAGAACAGTTAGGAATATACATCACAAAAAAATTATTGTTTACATACTTGATTACTTATGAATTTGGGTGACCGAAAACACTCAAATTTAGCATTTCTGACTGGTTAAAAGAAAAAACACCTTTAACTGAATATATTTGTTTATATTTGGTTAAAAGAGAACACATTTTACTGAATATATTCTTATTCATTTTCTTATTTCATCTTGGCACAGCCTGAGACTTTTTTATTTCTTTTTTTTATTTAGTCTTCCTGTTTTTGCTGATTAGACCTGGATTAATAGCTCTTATTTTTCTTTGTTTTGTTTTTCTACTGTACAGCCCTTTGTTAAAGCTGATTTTTTTTTTAAGTCCTCTTCAAAAAAAACAAAAAAACAAAGTAGCATTGATCCTAGATATTTGGGAATTTTTGTGAAAGGATGCAATTCAATTTATTTATATAGCACCAATTCACAACTCATGTCATCTCAAGGCACTCTACAGAGACAATTCAACCAGATCATACAGTCAAATTGATTCAAAGTTTTCTATCTAAGGAAAACCCGTTCATTGCATCGACTCATTAACTTGAAAGCAATCCCTCACACCAAGCATGCTTGTGGCGATAATGGAGAGGAAAAACTCCCTTTTAACCAGAGGAACTGTTGATGTGATCCCCTCTTTTCCCCTGATGTTGTAATGTGGAGTGTGTTCCCATTTGTACCCCCACTCCTTTCAGATAAACACACCAGGAACCCCTACAGCAGCCTATATAACCATCAATGTAACCATCAATACAAGCACAACCACCAACGCACCCATTTTAAAATCCACAAAAATAAAACCATGTGAAATTGCTCAGTAGCAGCAGAAGGCCCTATGTTTTAAAGTGCTGGACAGTTAGTTATTTAGATACGGAGATATCACAGAAATAATAACTTAATTCAAAGGGAGATAGTCTGAACAGCATGGTGCTCAGCAGTCAAAACAGGAAGTGAACACGATACGTCTCACCGACAACAGCAATAGCACCCTCTAGTGTCAGGCCTGTAGAAGGCGATAACAGAATGAACACAATTGCAGACACAATAGTAAATGTCAGTTAAATCCCAAGCTGAGCTTTGAGTTTAAAAATCTGACCGTTGAAGAATGCTTTTAAACCTATTTTTGTATATATTGTATTTGAAAAGAATCAAGATCTTTATCTGTGCTTTAATAGGTGTTCACACATTTTAAACAGTTGTGATGATCTTCCTCCTATGGGGCCTTCTTCTGTGTTCTCTGGGTACATCCCACTGGAGAAAGCCTCTCTGCTAGAGACATTACTCACTAGAGCAGACATCTGCTTCTGCAGCCCCAAGTGGCTCTTTTGATCCGCTGCAGGGGCTCTTGATAGTGGCTAAAAATGATATAATGAACCAACAAATGTAGTATACTAACAAATTCTTAGACTTTTTTTTTTTTTTAATAATATCTGAATTTAATTTTTCACAAGGGAATGACATAAAAAAGGGTCAGAAATATGATTCAAGATCCATCATGTTTGTCATGAGCTTGGAAATTGTCTGTTTTTAATGTCAAATAATATAATATAGAGGAAAATCCATGCCTTATCTTTATAAAATCTTTTTTCTTTATTTTAGAAGGAGATTTTCTACTGTAGATAATTAAAAAAATAATAAGCAGGGATGCAAGATATTGGAGTTTTTGCCAATAAATAGATATCATACTGACTGATGGCCGATAATCGATGCCAGTATTTTTTCCCCTCCAATGACCTGGCCTCAGATAGGTGGAAATGCATGGATGGATGTTTGAACATAGGACACTGTTAAAGTCAGTGTTTCAACTCTTAATTTATTATCATTTAACTTTATTTGGTTTGATTTTAAGAACTTAAAACAATACATTTTTGGTAATAACAGTGTGCTTCATAACTCAGAGACCTTAAAATGCATTTCAGACACCCAATGCAATTTAACAGAGCTGTTAAAATGTATGAAGGAAGATGATGACATGATTGTCTTTAAGCTGGAGTTGCTCAGTCACAGTCATTCCCGTCTCCTCAGTAGCGCAGATATTATGGGAACCAGCAGGAACACAAAACACTTAAAAAGGGGAGTATATGGTGGTTTAAGGCATTGGATCTGAAGGGGACTCTGTGTCTCTTTGGGTTATGTTAGCTCAAGTTTCAATAGTCAAAGAAATTAATTCAATCAAGAGAAAAATATGCAGTGAAAAGAACAACTTCATGCAGTGATTCCGGTCTATCTCTGTCTTTCTTTCTGTTAACAAGATGACAGCTATAGAAATTAAATTCATTAAGATACATCCCATAAAAATGTTATATTAGAGAGCAAATACAGCTTGAATACACACACAAAGATTGGGGGAAAAATCAGTGCATGGAAATTAAATAGAAAAAATAAAAACCAGCAGTACAAAATGTAATTTTTCTGCAAGGCATCTGTATTATTTAAGGCAAAATGCAACTCCATGATCTGACTGTTGGCAATGCTTTTGATCAAACAAACAAACAAATATGATCAGATGTAAAAATACACAGAAAATAATTCACCAATAGTTCAACTTCTTATTCAGCCTCACAAAAGAATGTCCTTCATTTACAGAACACTGGGAGTCGAAAACATGAGTGATATGTATTTAAAATGACCTGCAGGTTTGTATTTAAAGCATAAAAATGTATAGCTGAAGAGGTGAGGCATCTCTTAACTTTCAGTGTGAAGACTGAAACATTACAGGAAACAAATAAAACTATTTTCCTACCTAAGCTCCACTTTATCTCTAAGAAGCACCAAATCATAGAAACACTATCTGGTCATTTATTTTTATTTATTTTTTGTGTGTTATTTAAATAAAGAAATATATACATAGACTATAGTATGTACACCAACTGAGCTGCATCAGGATGCTCTTCAGTGGATTTCTACGTCACTAAGCGCTTTCCACATCTATTGGCATCCGTGGTAAAGATGTGTAAAGGTTCAAAATACGTGTCTTTCACTGGGAATCCTGGATTATCCGAACTTTAACTGGATATTATTTGGATTGACCTGACCTACTGAAGGCTAAGGTTGATTTTACTTCTATTTTTTTCTGTGTTATTTTGGCCATGGGAATCCTTTTGGAATAATAATTCAGTTAAAAGCTCAGTGATGGACCATTTTTAGCTTTCTCTGAGGCGCCACCGGATTTTTGATTCAATTCTGCGGTTAAATCAGATCTTCCACTGAACGCATCAATGCCCAAGAGCTGCTTTTCTTTTGTTTTTTTTGCTCATCCTAAGCTGTCTGATTATGTACGACAAACACAGAATTAAACACACTAGAAAAAAAAAATTTTGTCAGGTCTCCCTCATACTAATTTAGGAAAGAACTGTCAAAGATAGTTGAACAGTTCTTAAAAAAAAAAAAAAAGGTTATTTAAAGGAAAAATATTGTTTAGGTAAGTTTTTAATTAAGCCTAACAGATAACAGATGTTCTCTCAAACACCTGAATTTTATTTAGATATATATATATTTATATCTTTGTTAATTTTTTTCTCTCTTTTTCAGAATATATGATCCATAATTAAAGAATTTATTTCAGGATTTTTACACATCTTTATCAATGGAGGCAATACATTTATCCTCTTCTGTGTTCAAAACAGACCCTGTCATTTGAGCTCTAATTCATGTTCAATAGACAATCAGCAGTATGAAGGCTTTCACTAATGAGACGGAGAGTCAAAGGATGGTGGGTGAATGACAGAGTTACATAACGGAGCTCTCCAATTGTGCTTGAATTGAACTTATGGGTCATAACCTACAGCAAGAAATGAAAACATCTTTTTAAGTTGAACAGTGTAATGGTCAGCTGATTAACTCCATGATGTAACTCTGAATGAAGGAGCTTTGGTGGAAGCTTGAAGGCATCTCGGGGTCTGAGCCTGAGAGGGATGCACCAGGAGCAGCTTTCAGGAGGTCGAGGTTCACCTCCTCACTTCTCACCATGCAGTGCTCATCACTCCAGAGGTCAAGTAGAGAGGGACAAAGAGATAAGATGATGGAGACATGACGTTATTATATCAGCTGAGGTATGTAGCTGTATGTGGTCAGGGATTAGATGTTTACCTGGTCACTGGGTAGCTGTTTTTCTCCATTGACCCCAAGCAGAATTGCCTCCTCTGACTTGTCGCTCTTCATCTCCACCACAATCTTATCTTTGGCAGACTTCTCTTTAGTGCTTATGTGGGACAAGAAGAAGCTCAAATAAGTGACTTAATAATAGAATGATGATGTCAGTCGTTGAGACATTAGGGCAGTTATTGAACGGTACCTGATGTGGATGTTAAGCTTTTGTTGCCTAAGTAAATCTATTCTCCATGCATGGATTAAACGTCCTCAAGAAATGAAAAACTGATTTGGTCCTAATGTAAAAGCAAATCTTAATGTGGACCAGCCTGTCAAATCAGCTATATGTCTCTCATTAAAATGAAACTGAGCCAAGATAAAAACACTAACTCTCTGATCAATTATTTACACCTATTGTCAGACTCCAAAGATAATCTTTAATATCTTTATTTTATTATAACCTTCTTTGTGTTTAGAACCTAGGCAAATTTTTGGTCTTTTCACCCTTTATAGGGAAAGTTACAGTTACCCCCATTGATCAGAGAGGTCTAAAAGCACAAGCTTTATATCCAGCCATTCAGTATAGATACTGCTACCTGGCTGCACATGTTATTTTTGCATTTGACCAACTAGATTATATATTACCTATTGTAAATTAAGTTGTAAAGAAAAAGTTAAGAAAAAGGGTAAAAAGCTAAGTTAAAAAAAAATAACTGAAAAGTTAAAAAATAAAGTTAAAAGTTAAAATCTAACTAGCTTTATCAGCTCTTTTTCTTTACTCTATCAGGTCCAGTCAGCAGCCCAGCAGTCGACAAATAAATATGTGCTTATTGTCGGAAACCCGAATCTGGTCACCCTAGCAAAGATGCTTCAGCTGCGCATCAGAACTAAACTGGTACAAGCATCAGAAATGAAGCAGCATGCACGTTTTTGGAGTGGCTAGCTTCCTGCCATGGAGTCCTGCACAAGCATTGGGCAGTCGACTCGTTCATGTGTCAGGGTTCGCCCACAGGGGGGAGGGACAAGCACATGACCATGATTGACGTGTCAGGAACCAATCGTGCACAACGGACCGTCTTTTGTGATTGGTTGGGGTTATTCATTGATTTCTCATTGTAGCAGGGAATATTTATTTTAGTTTCACTTCCAGACCTTCTATTTCACTGCTTGGTAAGCAGCTGTGGGGAAATATTTAAGCCACATGGTAAAAAATGTGTCAGAAAAGATCTCCTACTGCACCTTTAATGCTCAAAGGTAATACTATAACAAAAACGTGTTTCTTTCACTCTGTGAGTGTTCTTACAGAAGCACTTTTATGTTTCTCAATGCATTAGGGTAAGTGGCCATTCTTTGTTATTACATTGATCTTGCATTTTACCATCAAAATATACATATTTTTTGAATTTTGCAAAAGTAATACGCTCTTTTCCTGTCCTCCAATGACACTATTGGCTTGAAATGAAATTTTTCAAAGTATTTCAATGAATGCCCTATAAAGAGTTAAAGATTCTTTACAAAGTGAGCAAAAGGCCCTTTTAGTAGTCAGTTTGGTTAAAATTAAAGCTGCAGTCTCTCTCTTCCTTTATAGAAACGTGCTCTGCACAGGGAGTCTGCATTAAGGGTGTTTGGAGGAACATCAGGTCCCGTTGCATCTCTGCAGTGAGTGTGTGGCTTTTGATGAGTTTCTGTTTTTTAAAAACACTTCAGTATTGAAGCAGTATTAAGGTAGAATAATTACAGTGTCCTGCTGCGTCCGGATCAGGTTTGTTACTTTTATCCCAACAGAGAAAGAAGTCGGTAAAATCTAAAGGCTCCTAAGTGGTCAGCGACTATTGGTGGGTTTCACTTTCAGAATCAAGACTCTAATATTCAATGAGGGAATCTTCTTCAGCGCAGACTGTGTAATTTAACGCTAGATTTGGTTTTATTCTTACAGTTGTGTTGATTCTGTAGTGGCAGCAGACATGTGAGATGTATAGACACTGTATGAGCAGCTCTACTTGTGCCAAAAACTCAACAGAGATAGCAGTTTGTCTTATGCTGTCATTAAATCGCACATACCTGCTCTGTTTTGAAATATACAAAAATAAAACAAGGAAATAAACACTCTAAATGAGTCTATTGAGAAATAAAAAACACAACAGAAGATGTTTTCATTCCTATTAAACTTACAAGTCTTGTTTTCCAGACCGATTGCAAATCTTGCCCTTTTTGTAGAGGAAGTAAAGGACGCTCCCCAATATGGCCAGAAGCAGGATACAGATAATGATCACAGCAATGATAACGCCATTGTTTCCTGTTAAAGAAGAAACAGCAGAAACACAAATCAGGACAGCTGTTTTTTTTTTTTTTGATAGAGATGACGTTTGGAAGTGGAGGAGTCCGATAAAAAGTGTGGGTGTGTCAGAAAGCCTTCCATGAAAACAGCACTTCTAGCATCTTTCAGCTGACATCAACCTGGCAGCTCAAAACAAAAGAGGTGAAAAAAGTTTTAGGTTCACAGGAGAAGAGGTGTGCTCATAGCGAAAAATAAAATATAATCAGCATCATGGCATGCAGGGAAAGAGGTGAAGGTAATGAGCAAGATAGTTTCATTCAACAGGAAAGAGGTGTCTGCTGGAGGAGAAGGTGATATGTCAGGAAAGGGAAAGGATGCACTTTGTGTGTTGTAAGAGATTCAGCAGCAATATGACACACAAACCTTTTTTGACCTTCTCTGGTGGTTTGGCTGTTTCTGGTTTGACTAAGGAAATCCAAATGAGGACAGTTATTAACGTGTTAGTGGGTCGATGTATTAAATGACTGATCTGACACACACAGACACACAGCGACACCCCAGCAGGCATTTCAGATGCTCTGAATAACAAAATTGGACTAAATGAGTTAATCTGTGAATCCTGGTCAGTGACCTGGGTCATTTCCCACTGTAGTCCTGTTTAATCTCATTTCACAAGAGAGAAACAAAGACCCAGAACAGCTTTCCTCTGAGGGGATGGAAAGTTTCCTGGCACAGCAGATGTAAAAGAAACAAAATAGAGATAAAGACAATCAAGGGAATGATTTTAAGCCCGAGCCTCTTTAGTTAGGCACATTGGAGTAAATTTTTTGGGTATATCTCTGGACAGCATATTGCTTACAGAAATTCTATGCTAACAGTTTAAAAAAAACAATCTTAGTACTTTCATTATTGGATGTAGATGGTCTTTTTTTTCTCAGGACATGGTGGACGTCATCATAAAAGGCATATTGTTCAGAATATAACTACTACTGAAAAAAATGATTACATTATAATTCAGGCAAAACAAATGTTATGGAAAAAAATTAAGAGTTATTTAGGATTTATTACGGATTTATTTAGGATGCAATAAAAATCAGTCATTAAATATAGAATCTACTTTAAAAGTGGAATATACAGTACTTATATTTTTGTTATTGGAATTATTTAGAGCAGTATTTTTTTAAATACAAATTTAACTAAGGCTAGGTTCACACTGCAGGCCTTGATGCTCAATTTCAAATTTTTTGTGAAATCCAACTTTTTTTGCGTTGCCTTTCATATTTCCAAATATATGCGATTTCTATGTGATCTCTTGTGCGAACTGCCGTCATTCAGCTTAACTGTCCCGCATGCGAGGTAGAGGCGAAATGACGTCACACGCCAGCATGCTTCGTGTTTAAGTAAACATGGATGTAGTGCTAGAGCACATCTAGTGGTCTTTCCAAACCTTAAAACCTCAATCTTTTCTAGATTGTTAAAAAAAAATGCTGCTCTCTGCATCATCGTCCGCCATGGTGTATGTTTTTCTTGCTGCTTCTGTGTAGCAAGAAGCAGAATTGTGACCTATGTTGGTTACTAATAGCGTTCAGACACAGGTCACATTTGGAAAGATAAGATTGGTATCGGATTTAGGACCACATAGCCAGGTGGCCTGGGTCGGATTGGAAAAAATCGGATCTGCCATGAAAAGATCAGATCCAGGTCGCATATGGGGAAAAAAATCAGATTTGGGTCACTTCAGGTTGCAGTGTGAATGTAGCCATAGTCTCCTTGAACCCCAGTTGGTCTTGGCAGATGGCCGCTCACACTTAGACTGATTCTGGTGGAGGTTTCCTCCTGTTAAAAGCGAGTTTTTCCTCTCCACCATCGCAACAAGCATGCTTGGTGTCAGGGATTGCGTTCCAGTTTATGAGAGGATGCAATCAACTGGTTTTCCTTAGATAAAAAACTTTGAATCAATTTGACTGGATGATCTGGTGAACTTTAAATTCCTTGAGATGACGTGTTGTGAATTGGCGCTATAGAAATAAACTGAATTGAATTGAACATATTGCACAGAGCAATGTCAGAACCAGTGAAGGGGAATTTAGGCTGATTTTGGTCTATTAATCAGTACAGGATTATAATAACATAACAAACCATTTATGTTAAATAAATTAGCTTGATAAACAAAAAAAAAACTTTAAATACTGATGTGCAATTAAAGAAGGAAATTAGAGTCTTGATTTTTTTTTACGTTAAAAGGTAATACTGTACATATTCATTCATTGACAAAATCTATAGGTGTTAGAATTAAAAACAGACTACAATGAACATCTGTGCAGTATCTGTATGTAATACAAAACATAAAAGTAACACAATGTACTGGCAACTTAAAGCAATAATTTCTATTTTCTTTATTTATTCGATTAAAAAAAGAGTAGATGACTCATATAAACAAAACTATTTCTAAATCACTGAAAAGAGCAATTTTTTAGCATCTTGCAAAGTTGCTTAATACATTTACCATTATTTCTGTTTCCTGCATGTCAAGAAAAATGAGGGATTGATCATTCTTAAACTTGCTTCAAATTCATTTATCTGGGTCCTTTGTATGTGGGCATGAAAAAATTATAATTTTTCCGTCTCTTAACAAACCCCTCAGAATAGTTTGCTGTAATTTATTAGTTTTATAGGCAACCCTGCTTTTTCTCCAAGCCATTTTTTGAGACTGAGGTCAAAACCTCTTTCTCAAATCTCTCATAACACTTTTGTTTAGTTACTTTCACAATAACTTGGTAATATTGTTAGGACGATTGTCTATTTGGAGGAACAATTTTTACCAAAGCTTTATCTTCCTGGCCAATGTGCCGAGCTGTTGCTTAATTTCTTCAACATGATGCTCTTTCTTTCTGATACCTTCTAATTTGGGAACAGCAATGGTCTCCATTAAGCAAAAAACTCAAGCTTTGCATTCCCTCATAGCGGGATGGTGTTCTCATACTGGTTTTCCCTTCATCTCTTCATAATGGCCAGAAATTATAGTTCTAATTTTTTCAGTCCCCATGTCTCCAAAAATGAAAGTCTTTATACATTTCAGCAAACTTTAAGCTGTATATGCATGTTGCATTTGGCCTAATGCCTTTTACCTCTCAGTTTTGTATGTGCATTTAATTCATCAATTGCATTTGGCAGGTAGACTAGTCTACCTGCCAAATGGCCACCCATTCTCTTCAAACCTCTCAAATATAATTTTACAAACATACAAGTTCAAACACCATATCTGTCTCTCTTTGAGCTCCAGTGAGATTGAGTTTATCTTGAATGGGGCTTAACAGGCACAAAATGTCTGGTCTTACCTGTGGATTTGGAAATGGCTGCGTTGGTGGTTGTGCTTGTATTGGTGGTTACATTGATGGTTGTATTGTCTGCTGTAGTGGTTGTATAGTCTGCTGTAGTGGTGGCTGGTGTGGTGGTGTGTTTATCTGAAAGGGGTGGGGGTACAAATCGGAACACACACCACATTACAACATCAGGGGAAAAGAGGGGATCACATCAACAGCCGAACAGCTTCAAGGTGTCTCTTTTGCAAAGAGGACACACATTGAAGTGCTCCAAATTACAGGCAACACTTTACAACACGTCACAGGGAGCTCATGACCGACAGACAGAGATTAAAACAAACAAACACAGACACAGACAAGAGGAGGAAAGGACAACTGGAGAGGAAGGGGGAACAGGGCATCTTCACACACGTGAACGCACAGGTTGGACAGCCTGAGCTGTGCAGTCAACTCACTGATTACGGCTTTGATGTTGTACTCGACTGAGTGTGTGCCATAGCCGTTTTGCGATTTGCAGAAGATGGTCATGTCCGAAGCTTTGACTTTGACTACACTCTTAGCGCCGTCATCGGTCTCTGTGTACGTTGCAGAGCCTAAAACCTGCCAAGGATACACATTTGAAGACGGAAGAGTGATGTCACAAAGGAAAGCGTCAGATTCAGGTGAAAGATGAAAAAAGCATCCGAAAATAAGTTTCAGGTTTATAACCACAAAGTGAAATACATTTTGCATCACAGCATCAGTCTGAACAGCTTCCCTGTCTTTGCTGAGAAGTGGAAAAGTAAGTTGGGTTTGTCGACCATATTTGCAGAGAAAGCCTTTTCAGCTCCGACTACAAATTTTCTATAGGGATAAGATTTCAAAATACTGGTTTTACATTGTTTAAAACTTCAAAGTTACTGTGCAAATAATTACTATGTGTGATTAGATTTTAAGAAGTCAGAAGACGCACTAAACTGTAACTTCTTGCTGATGTCTCGAGGTATTTTTTCAATGTCTCCACGCATTCTTCCTTCTTGATAGCTCCATTAAATTAGTCAGGTGCACGATTCCTGCATGCACCCCTCCGTCCCATATTATTAGACTGCCACTCTCATGCTTGGGATGACAGGAGGTGATGTCTCTAGGAATTATCCTCTAATGCATTTTCAAACTGTATTTGGCCTCAGCATTATTTCCCATATGTTACTCCAAAGCACATTAATTCCCTAAATTGTTTCCTGAACTGTTTGATCGCTGCACATTTCAGTGTTGTTGTGCTTGTAAATAAATGTTTGAAGTATTTGTAGGTATCTAACCATGATAAACCAGCTTTAGGGGAGTCTCTATGATATTTTGGTCTTCATTTTATTCTATTTTAATGATGAGCGCCTATGATTTTAAAAATGGAGGCAATGTTTTGGAAGTCTTCCTTTAAAAATACATTTCATGTTTGCCTTGAAGTGTAAATCAACATAACCCTGGAAAACCAGGGCATAATCATGTTGGCATTGTAAGTTCCTAAAAGTAATAGTGATCTGGTGTTTGACTAAATTTGAAGGATTGACTGTTTTTTGGTTTTATTGTGTATCATAGCCATCTTGATATCTCTTAATATGGTTTCTAGTCTGTGTCTCCTCCAGTCTACTCCTTAACTGGTATTATGAGGATAAGGTACTTGGTCTGCAACTCTATAAAGGTTGATTAGTTTCAGAGAAAAATCCCAACAAACACCAGTAAAAAACATTTCCCCACATAACATTCAGATTTAAGAAATAATAACTGACATTAGCTAAATTTAGCTTTCATTTTAGAGCTGATTAGTTTGCTGTCTGACTAAAAGTTGCACATGGCTTGGCTTTTGCCATAATGGACCTAATCACTCCAACCTTTAGGAGTGTAGTGCGATGATTCAGTCCTTCTTGCAGGTGTGCTGAACCTGAGCTAAGGTTAAAAGATGATTCTCATTGGTACCTTGTCATCAGAGGTAGTCCAGGTTATATTGGGAGAAGGGGAACCTCTGGCATAGCAGCTAAGTTCAACATCTTCATCTTTGTAGTTAATATCATTTTCTGTAGGAATGTTGTTTTGTGGAGGGCCTGCAAAAAGAAAGGCATAAAAACATTTAATTTTCTTAAAGCGGTGGTGAAAATGAATACATTTTCTTCCAAAAATACACTATCGAATGTGTTAAAATAAGAAATAAGTTTGAAATATGCATATTTTAATCACCCTGAACGTCTACTTGTAGTGAGGAGTTGGTTTGCATTCCTTCAACACTTGGCACTGTCACCACACAAACATACGTCCCTGCATCCTCATATGTCACATTATCCAGATTTAGAAGGTGACCCCTTGAAACCTCCTTTCCATCCTGCAGGAAAAAAAATACATTAAACTCACTTTGTGCTACAAAGGTTCAAACTAAATGTTTCATAATGCATCAGACCTCCATTTTTTTTGTTTTTTTTCAGTAAAAACATATCAGTTATCATCACTAAGCCTTAAACTCCCTGATGCATCCAGTTATTTTGTAGATGTTAGAGAAACAAGATCACAGTTACCTTAAGCCATGTTGTCTCAGTGTGGAGAGAAGACAAAGCATTGCAGGAAGCAATAAGCTTATTTTTCTGCACCACCTCTAAAGGGCCTTTAGGCTCAATGACAGCCTCATCCAAATCTACACAAAAGGTAAAGATTTGAATACATAATAGGTCACTTTAATCTGATTACATCATCACTACAGATAATATCAGAGTGAAGTCCTTACAGTTGACCCTCAGATCAATGTTTGCTGAGATTTCTTCAAACGTATCCATATTCATTGTTTTGCATTCGTAAACACCGCTTTGCAGGCGAGTAACTCTCTCCAGCACCGCTGTAGCGTCGTCTGTCAACTTCTCACCCTTTAAAATCCAGCAACAATCTTAGAAAATATTTTATCTTTTTATTTATTCTATACATACAAAATGTTATTTATATGTCATTAATATACTTTCTCACAAATGTAGAGATATACTTCAGAAGCTGAGATAATTAGAAGAAAAAAAGAATAATTGAACAGGAATATCTTGTCCGTACTTTTTTTTTCTGTGCACATTAGATGGTATACACTGAACACTAGGCTTTAATGCGGGGTGAGATGGAGGCTGTCAGCCTGTGGTTTGACAAGAGGAAAGTAATCTCAGCCCAGGTTGCATTAAAATGGCCTTCAAGACAATCATCACAAATCACCACAAGCTCATCCAGGAGGAGCATGTCTTGCAGGTCTGTGACAGGATGCAATCAACTGGTATTCCATGACAATATGATTGAAATGTATTTGTAAAGTAAAGTTGAGATGACATGTGTTGTGAGTCGGTGCTATATAAACTATAAAAAACTTAATTAAAATCAATTAAAACTCTATGGGGTTTAATTGTTGGAAGCAGGATTCCAGGTCGCCACTCTTCCTCCAGTCCAGCTGATTTCAAAGTGAAATGCAGAAACTACTTTTATCATTAAAAGTGGCATTTCTAAGTCTGATGTCTGTTTCAGGAGGGGCGTATGACTCTGTAGCTGTAGTCCAAAATTTGTGAATAGTTTCAAGGTGTTGCTTTATTGTATATCTCGTACCAAGTCTTTTGGTTGTGCTGTTCTTTTTTCATCTCGTTACAGGTGATGAAGCTGACTGAAAATATTTTGTCATTGTCTCCTTTCTATCTCATCTTTCTTTCATCTTTTCTCTTTTTTTTTCTTTTTTCCTTTTCTTCTTCTGTTTTTCTGCTCTATTTACAATGCAGTGTCCATATAAACTGTAAAACTCCCTGCATAATTATAATAAAGCAATTTATATGCATGAAACAAGTGGAGCAATATGGCAATTGCCATACTGCTACACTTGCAAAAGTAAAATCTGTTGGGCTCTTTTTGGCATCAAGACGCAATGTGGCATCTGCCACATTGCCAGACAGGACACTGTAAAAAAATAAAAAATAAAAAAAAATTTGTGAATATTAATCTATTTAATTGGTGCAAAGTGTCCTTCAAACTTTCCATTAATACTTGTGGATATAAAAACTACCAATAATCTTTTTGCACTTTGCTGCTTCACCACATGTTTGTGTTGGAATAAAATCGCTAAAGCATAACATTTCTGTATAAAAATGAATTAAAAAAACTTATGTTGTTTATAATAATCCAATTTCAAATGAGAAACAGTGTGATGAATCTGTACAAAATAAAAAATGTCCCTGACATTTTGATATATTTCCAAACATTTTAACACAATCTCAACATACTCATGAAATAAGTCGTATATCTTCATTTATTTTCTTACCTTATGTATAATCTGGATCTCTTCGGATTCACTATTCCCATCAGTGATGCAATGGAGCTCCACGGTGTCCCCCTCCTTAATATGACCGTTTGGGGATTTAACAGAAATAGTTGCTGCAGTAGAAGGATCTGAAAAAAAAAAATTGGGAAGGTTACACCATAACTGCTGACTTTAAATTATTATAAAAGCTAGAAAATTCAATGTCATATGAAAAATATATACTTCTCAAAATATAATAAATCCAAACTTATAAAATTACTATGACTAAATAAAGTTTGTTTTTCTATCTAAGCATTACTTTTCTTAAAAAAAAAAAAAAAAAAAAGTCTAAATTCCCCTCAAATCCAGTTGATAGTAAACACATTCAAAAGAGCATCATCAACAAAAAAGGAACACTTTGGTTAGTGATCTTTAATGAATGGTGAGTTTTGCTATTACATGTAAAATGCACCTAAGAGGTCCAGAACAACCAAACACTAGAGGAATTCTCTCTGAATTTTAGTGTCCATATAGTGATTAACATTCAATAGCCTTCATTTAAGTCTTTCTAGGTTGAGAAAAACTTAGACTCAATCTTCATATATTGACAGAAAACTCGGTTAGGTGAAGGTTACTCACAGTAAACAGTGGGCTGAATACGTTGACTTTCATACATCTTCTCGGCTCCAGGAATGTTGTATTGGACCTCACAGTAGAAATGTGCATCTTTGTCCTCCTTCTTTACTTTAATAGACAAGTAACTTTTTATTGAAAATAAACCACTTGATTCGGATGTGACCTCTTGTGCTATTTGCACACCTGGAAGACAGAAACATGTCAGCCATTACAGAGCCTATAGTTAACTTATTCACAAATGCTAAAATCAATGATTTTAAAAGAAATTACTGATTTGGGATTGATAACCAAGAACTGTAACCCTTTGTCAATACTGTTTATTTTGCCAAACCAGACAGGGTACAGTATTATTCAAAAAAAGTAAAACAAAAAACAAAAAAACTGTGGACTTTGTTTTTTAAGTTTAAAGACGTTTCACTTCTCATCCTGGAAGCTTTCACAATTCAATACCAAAATTTCCAGATAAGCGTTAAGTTCCAAGCTTTATAGAGTAACCCAACAAAGCCTTGTTATGGCTTAGAAAACATGCAAAGTGAACCGACAGAACAGGTCCACCCCTTAGTATAGGGAAGTTTTTGAGGTCGTTGTTGGCCCGCAATACTGCGATACTGGCCTACAGAGATGGCAAAAGTACTCACTTTCCGTACTTGAGTAAAAGTACAGATACTTGTGTTAAAAAATACTCTGGTAAAAGTGGAAGTACTGATTAAACTTCTTTACTCAAGTAAAAGTAACAAAGTACAGGCTTGTAAATTTACTTAAAGTATAAAAGTAAAAGTAGAAACCACTTTTTTCATGCCGTTACCTACATTTTAAATGGATGTCTGCCAATAGGACTAGATCTCCGTTGTGTTCATTTTCAATCATCTCGTCGTCCATACTACTATGCTAACGCCACCGCCACCAAGCTGCAATGATTTGCCGCGAATGAATACCGCAGAAGCTGTCGATTCATCTTGTAGTGGTGCGTCAAATGCAACGTAGATTCCCATCCAATTAGATTGAATTTGGTATTGATGATGTGAAAAATAATAACGGTAACTCCATTGAAATTAAACTCCTTACATTTTTTAAAATGTAAGGAGTAGAAAGTACAGATATTTGTGTAAAAATGTAAGGAGTAGAAGTAAAAAGTCGCCATAAAAATAAGTAGTAAAGTAAAGTAAAAATATCAGAAAAATCTACTTGAGTACAGTAATGAAGTATTTGTACTTTGTTACTTCCCATCTCTGCTGGCCTATGACTCTGACAAGGGAGTCAATAGGGTCATTGTTGGCCTGGCCGTCCAGGCGAGATGTTTTTGTCCCCTGCTTAGCGATGGGGCTTGAGATGATAGCAGGAAGGAATCAACTCTATTGCTGCGTTGTAGATTTTTGACAGCTGGATCTTACTTTCCCTACTTAATCATCATCAAATCCCTTCTTGCATAGTATGGAGAGAAGTTAGTTTAAATTGAGTTGATTAGGACGGGTTGGTCCTGATATTGGTTCGTTGTTTGAGTCACAGACTCAAACAGATGTCGTCTCAGTGGAGCTTCCATAGTTGATCACATTGCCATAGTAAGACACTTAACTCTGTTATCAACAGGTATTACCTTAAGTAACAGAACATTATTAAAATTCACTAACTTTTTGTATATTTATATAAGTATCTTGAAACCACACACTAGCATATAGATTCCCCTAAAGAAGTACTTTTTACAACATGAAGCACCAATGAAAACAATAGACACTAAAGGCAGCCTTTGATGGGCTGTGCCTCACCATCTGGAATATTACGTAGTGGCGTGTTTTCTCTGTACCAGGTGACATTCGGTTTTGGGTATCCATTTTTCACCTCACATGTGCCAATCTATGTAAAGAGGTAATTAGAAAATGAGTATATTGTCTGGAAGTTAATTTTCAATGGTTCATCTACGTGATTTAGGATTTGATTACCTTTGAAATTGGATCATTTATTGATATTCCATTTTCTACACCTTCTATCGTAGGTTGATCTGGTTTTTCTAATGGGAAAAGAAGGAAACGGAAAGAAGTTTAACATCATGTCAGCATTATGTAGATCCATCTCTAGCTGTGATATCTTTTTTTTTTTTTAAATATTGCAGTAAATCTTACTAAACACTCTCAGCTTTGTGCTTCCATTCTTGGACCCTTCAGTAACGCTCCGGACCTCACAGATGAACTCCCCTTCATCGCTCAGCTGCACATTACTGATGATCATCACCACATCCTGCGACGTACTATTCACTTTGATCCGGCCAGTGAATGGAGTGTTTTTTTCCTCATTGTTTTGAAGACTCTCCTGGTGGTAGATTTTTTGCCTTTTTCCTGAACTTGTTTCCTGCAGGTTAAAACATATTGTCAATGAAAGGACAGCTTGTATCACCTTCCTCGAGTCTACAGGGTTTATAAAGAGAACTTACATGGAACCATTTTATCAACAGGCCACCACTGCCACTGATGCCGTCGTCCGATGTAAATGAGCAGTTGATTTCAGCTGTTTCTCCCAAATAGACTTCCACGTTCTCCACCATGTTTACTTCCACTTTAGCGCTAGCTGAAGGGACAAAAAGAAAAGTAGTTTTTATATACTTTTGTTTTAAACTCAGCTTAAAATGCATATATTCCATCGGTGCAAGAATTGCATTTAGTTAAAATTTTGTCTTTTTTACCCTTATGGCTGCAGACTTTATATGTCCACCACATTTTAAACAGGCTTTACAGAAAAAGTTGCTTGTTAAACTGAAACTCTAAGGTGAGATACTGACATATTATGTGCCCCAACTTTAGGATTCTGATGTTTTAAACATGTTATACTTTCATGTTTAAGATTATACTTGCATATGCTTGATTGCTTTCATCAAATATTCATTTTCTTCACTTAACAAAACCATTTTTTTAAAGCACAGCTGAAAGCATTTTCAAAATAAGTAAATTAAAAGGCAAGAAAAAAATGCAACTGGTGTTTGTAAAAGTATTCATGTCCAATAAAACTCCAAATTCAATATGATTTACTATTATTATATATTGTAGACAAATACTGTGTGATAAAAATGTATAAGTTTTTTTTTGGTCATTGTTTTTAATATTTAAAAACAAACAAATTAAGTGTTTATTTGTATTCAGCGCTCTTAAGAAGATAATCAACGTTCTTTGGACCTAACCTGCAATTCTTTAACAGTTTTCATATACAAACCTAAGGGAGGCATTGAAGTTAATGTATAGGAAGAAAGTCCTGCCCGGTAAAAGAAGAAGGGAGAGATACTATGATAGGAATGAGAAGCCCACACATGCCCCCATAAATGCGCCGCATTCCAACATGGCACCCTCACACAGGAAGAAAGGCGTGATTTAAATGCAGTATAGTAGTTCCACTGTTCCTTCATGATCTGTACATGAAGACCGAATGTTTTTCCCCCTTTATGGTCTCCTAAATTGACACATCCTTTTAGTCTCTGGATGGACCCCCAATTACGCTTGGAGCTACATTGTTTGAGTTAACATGCAGGACTTTCTTGGGAGAGAAGGAGTCATGAACTTTAAAGACTTTTTCCTATAGAGGAATGTTTCAAACAAGACTAAGTTCTGTGGAAATCATCGCATTTTTCCAGAATATGCTCCTATTTGTCATTAAACTTTTCTTTTGCTATCCGTGAATGGCTTTTACTGATCAGACGCCAAAACTACACCATATTTAATTTGAATGTTTGCTAATTTACCTCATATGTACTGGAGTAAACATATTCAAAATAAGATATAAAGAAAATACCAGAAAAGTGAACAAACTAGAGATTGTGTTTTTACTGGAATTGAACATCAGCATGCTGGTCTTTAATGATTTTTCTAGACCATTGAATTTCTTTTTGTTATTGTTATAGAATATGATGTGCATTTATTCTTTACTTTGTTTCTGAACTAATTCTCTAATTTTGGCATCCAAAACAACCCAGCATGAAATCCTCTCTCCCTCTGCATCAGCCCACCTGTCTCTCACTTGGCTGTGTTGCTGTTTACTCCAGGCTAATGGAGTTGGATGGATGCTTTCCTGGTAAAGAAATTCAATTAGCTTCTATGACACAGACATTTCCTGGCCATTAACAATGAAACAGCCCCACTCTTGACTGACGTGCAAGTCCCAACCCCTAATCTAGGAACTGCAGCACCTGCAGAAAAATCCTGTTCTTCTAAAACTCCCTCTTCACATCTGACAGATACATCACATTTAATTTGGATTTTGACCAGCACCCATGCAATGCTTACAAAGCATCTGTCTGTGCTACCACAGGGCTAGGAATCAATTACTGATGCTGTAAGGCCACATTCAGTAATAGTCTTAATCTGTGTCTCAAAAAAACTGAGTATACTCTTTCTTTTATGTGTGATAGATGTTTCATGGTAGAGAGTCAAAGTTATCATTTCCCGGTTTTAGTGAGGCGTTTAACACAACTGTGATATCTATGACATGTCTAGTTAGTCTGCTTCACGCAGGCTGCAAAAAGTGAAGCAGAATAACACTTGCATAACTTCTTGCTGAGCTTCCTGAGGTAAACGATCAAAAGTGATGATGCTAATGCAGGTTGGACAGTGATGGTTAGGCCTCTTGCTTAACAGCTGGTGACCAGCCCGCAACAGTAGCGGATCATTCATTAGACAACAAGGGTGCCATTTTTGATGCACGGGATGCTCCGCACAATGTGCGTCACCCTTAGGAACCTTCTAAAAATAAATGTATATTTTTTCACAGAAGCATTACATTTTTTTCTTTAAGCTGACACTTTTAAGGAGAGACCATGATATATCAGACCATATCAGAAAACTACGGTATACATTTTGCATTAAAGTTTGTGTTTTCTTTTTGAACCCAAGCTATTTTCCCTTATTATGCTAAATGCTCAAATAAGATGCATATGAAAAAGGGTCAAAGGTTAACTTTTAAGTCCTGATGGCTTAGTTTTTACAATAACACTGATTAGCATCTAAACTGTTTAGATGGAGAGCTGAGGAACGTCTATTGTTCTGGCTCTCTTTCACACACACACCAACACACACACACACACACACACACGTTCTGTAGTGAGGACCGTGTGTTGACTTCCATCGATTTCCAGTCATATTTAACCATTTCTATGCCCTAAAACTAACCCTAAACCTAAGCATTACCAATGCATACCTAACCCTAACCCTAACCAATTGAGGAGTAGCGGCCTAGTGGTTAGGACTTTGAATCCTGAGGTTGTGAGTTCGAGCAAGACCCTTAACTCCACATTGCTCCCCGGACGCTGCACAATGGCAGCACACGGGATGGGTTAAATGCAGAGAATGCATTTTGTTGCTCTGTACTTGTGACAGTGGAATGACAATAAAGTTGAACTCTATTCTATTGAAACCTTAGCCCTAAACTTAACCATTACCAAAATAGCATGTGAGGACTGAAATGTCCTCACTTTGCAACAACTGCTCCACAGTTTGTTGGTGAAATTGGAAAAATGGTCCTCCCTCTGGGGAATACAGGTACACACATACAAACACATCCATGTTTCAAATAAAAACTGAGCACCTTGCCTAAACCCCCCACTGACTTCCATTCATTTTCAAATTTTTTGAACAGCCTAAAAATGTCATCCTAAACCTAACCATAAATGCATTACCTGAAACCTTACCCTAAGTTTAAACCAACAAAGTGAAAAATGAAAGGTCTTCACTTTACATAAAAGTCCTCCCTTTACTAAAACTTTGCAGCAAGTACAAGTGCACACACCCACACTGATTACTTTTATTTCTGCAGCCTAAGCCCACTCCTAAACCTTACCACTACCATACAAACCTGACGTTAAAACTAACATAAACTGAAGTCTCTCCAAACTCTGATGCTGCTTATTTTCCTAATATTGTGATGAAACTTTTCCTTTGGACTGCTGTGTGGTATTGATAAAATAATAACTGAGATAACCAAACATATAGCATCTAAATATACATATATATACATCCAAATTTGAGCTGTCTACTATATATATAAATTTTATATATATATATATATATATATATATATATATATATATATATATATATATATATATATATATATATATATATATATATATATTTAACAAACATCAAGTCAAACGCAGCTGTTGTTTATTTTGACATTTTTAAAAGCAAAAAGCCTTTTCAATGAGTTTGTGCAAAATTAAATTTCCAGAGATTGCTTAAAATGGAAATTAGCATTTTAATTTTTAGACAGCTCAAATTTGGATTTATAGAGACCTATAAAGACATTTTGTGATACTAAAGGGAAACATAAAACAACTAAAATTTGCTTCAGCTTAATAGTTGATCAGAAACTGGTCCTAAGACTCATTTAGTCAGATGATTGTAAACTTTATTATGTTGTCTACCTTATAAGTTAGTCACTCTATATTCATATGCTGCTGTTTTTTTTTTATGAGGTAGAAAAGTCATCAGAAAGCTCATTAATTGTCTCATAGCTCCCTAGGACCCCGGGTTCCTGCAGCATCTGGTGTGGCAAACTCACAGGCTCTAGCTCAAATTTAACAAAACAGCCTTTGTTTGTCACCCCATCCAACTATTTATCAAAGTTTAGTCAGTTACAGTATGTGTCCTTTTAGAATATTTGTTTTGGAGCCTGGAAATATTTTATAACTTAATCACAAATATCCATTATGAGCTTTGAATGAAAATGAAATAAAACAGCTTTTTCTACTTTAGTTGAAAATAGAAAAATGGTTTTATCCTGTTAGATCAAAGGAATGTTTTAATTATGCAGCAATAAATCCTCTGAACAGGAGAATATTTCACAGATTTTACGGTGAAAAGTTAAATAATAGGTTCCTAAAGGTCAGCTTCTTTCCTTTTTTTATTATTGTGTAATTGTTGATTTACATTTGTTGTACAGTGTCCTTAAGTGGTTTTAAAGGAGCTTTAAATAAAGTGTATTTCTATAGTTATTATCATTTTGGATATAAGCTGAGTGTGAATGTGTGCTAAATACAAGAACGTCATGGAAATGCACTGAGTAACATCAAGTTTTAAAGAGGTTGAAAACAAGCAAATATTGCATCCGGTCCTAATGGATTCAGGGAAAAAGGATGGAGGATACATGAAAAATTAGCTGTGGGGAAAATTAGGAGCTATGGGGTAATATATCTAAATGCTCTGTCAGTAAATTAATTTTAAGACTAATACGTAATGTTACAGGTTACATCATTTAAAACGACACATATTTTAGTGCTCTTGTAGATAAGCCTCCGGTTAGTGCAAACGACTTTCAGAAGCAGAGCCATAAAGCAGAAGATAAGATAACCTCAAGAGGAAGTCAATCAAAACAAAACTTGCTTTCAGTCTTAGCAACACAATCAGTTTCTGCTGCCGGTGATAACAAAGCCGAGAGCTCAGCTGGAGGCTTTTCCTCACCTGCACTTTTTGCATGAAAGACCGAAATGGTAAATTTCTGTTTTGATTTTTATTGTAATAAAAATAGCAACTCAACATTTTTAATAGTTTCAGATGTTCTTTTTTTAAGTCGTGTAAACCAGAAAC